CCTTAAGGACAGCGATAATGTACACTATATAGGAGGGTACTTCTATATAAGAGGGTACTGTTGTCGTGCACTTACAGTGAAAGCGTTGACTCTAAGAGTTCGCGTTGACAAACACACAGAAATGGAGCTCGTATACTTCATTTGGGAGCAATACCAATGTTTATTAATTTACTGAGTTTGCTCTACCATACTCAATTGTAATATATATTTTAACTAGATGTTATACTATATATCAGGAAACTACCCTCAATGCTTGAAGTGATGATGACAGTCCACGTATATCACGGAGGTCTTCTTTATGAAGTCCATCGTCTACTGTTCATCGATACCTTGATCCAATTATAAAAGCGTGATCTGAATCCCTTATAATTGTAAGAAGTACTGAATTTGTGTACTTAATCCTTACACATTTGGAACACTACAATCATACGAGATTCACTTTACACTCAATATGCAAAGCATCGGAATATCATTTTTATAAATGCAAGTACGCTTCTGTTATATCAAGATTGCTTTTATCTAGACCACCACTTAATATATTCGTTATAATAATACTTTTTGCTCTTCGAGTACCATTTCCTTGATACTTTTCAATAGTTTTACAATTACACAAAAATGTAATTTGAATTTCGTACAATTGTACAAAACTGTATTTTGCCCGGTTGTAAAGGTGTACGCACACTATTGTTACATATTGTGGAAGCGACAGGCCCGCCATACCTATACGTCCTCTAGGAGCTCGCGGGTAGACAAGAGTTTTGAACGCACACGATACGGCGCGAACACCCGCGATTTCTATTGCTCGTAGCGAGGAACTGCACGTCATTTTCCAATTATGTGCGCTGCCTCCTAGTTTAGAAACCGCAAGCGTGATGACCTGTGATTTCGTTTGGTACAAGCCAAATTCATAGCGATGTCAACTATATGGATTCTTCGTCCCGTCCCTCATAGGCATTGACGTTTATCATCAGCGATATCACGGGAATTATACATTCTTCAAACGGCGTCCGATTAAGCAAACGCTGCGTCACTATGGGCGAATAGAGGGAGGCGTTCCCCATACAGATACAGCGTTGGAGACTTCTAACACTGTTAGTTTGCACTACTATTTTTTTAAGCTGATACTCACTATATACACTTACCATTTCTCACAATGGGCGTCTCGCTTTTTGATGTGCGTCTAGCAGCTCTCGCTCGTGTACCTCAGACCCTCCTTCTCGAAGCTACGCATACGCAGACTTTGGATTCAAAGCTTTTCTCGGTGCAACGTGCTCGGCTACTTTCCTGTAATGCTTGATATTCTGCAATCTAGTACAAATATCACTCATGTACATAGCAGGAATTCGATTGCGCTCTGAATCATTTCTGAATCGCCTGCATGTTTCAACAAGCTATGTATTCAGTCGGCTTGTATAACTTTCATTCAATAAAGAAAATGTTGGCAAGTGATCATGCTGAAAGTGTGATATATGGCTGGGATTCCTAAATCAACATGGTCTCTTGAGACGGCAAAATCATTGTAGGCTACCATTTCCATATTACCACACACCTCAGAGATATTTCTCCAAGAATCACTCGAATTCTTAGACGTTGGCTACCTGTCATTCGATCAAAATTAAAAAAGTTATTCTTCTTCCGGTCGAATGGATTGTCAATTACAATCAATTGCCTCTGCAGGTATGGAGAGTAAGACATCAATGGAGAATCTAGACCGGATAAGAACATTATCGTAAGTCTTCTCACATAGGTACAGCTCCATTTGGGTTTTGGATGAAAGCTCAATTAACACGTGCTTAGATGCTCTACCTGTTGTAGGGATGTTCTATGCCTTGTCAACAAGTGCATGGTGAACGATCAGTCCGCATTGTTAGACACCTTTCATCCTCAGAGGATTTTATGTACAGTACTTAGCATTATCATCCGGACACAAGGATGTGCAGGTTGCATAAAGAAGTCAAGATAACTGAAAATGGCCTGAAATATACAGCAGAATTCAAGAACGATAGCGAGAGATAGACCTGAAGTTCACTTTTGCGGTGCAATAGCCGTACAGTATTCTTTGGAGCTCAGTAGCTGTACAGGAATCTATCATTGCGGTTAAAGCGCTAATACTCAAGGAACATAGCGTCTTGTTACTGATTTGTATCAAATTTGTTAACATAGCATACCACATATACGAGTCTTTGTGGAATCCATTGTTCCACGTGTCGATACCTTCAAATCTTTTAAGAGTCATGATGAAAAGCTGCTCGCAATTGTGGAGGTTCAGCATTCAAGCTTTGTAGCACAGGTCTGGTACGAGCTGTGACAAGCGGGTGTTCCTGCCTTCCCGCTCGAAGTGCTGTTGCGCCATCAAAAGTCTACTTCACCTTATGTAAAGAGACATTTATTCCTTAGGATAGAAACGTATCTCACTTAGATTCTTGCTTGTGTCTTGGCCAAGCGTAATAAAGGATGCTGCTACGCTGACATCAAAGACAACTCCTCAATTTATAGAGTGGCTGGAGCTTTACGATAGAAAACATGCTCGTTCGCTTAGTATATTGAATTTGTTGCAGATATAATCGACAAGAAATCGACACTTCGTTGAATATCAATATCTAACTCGACAATACGTTAGCTTAGGTCAATTGCTGATAAAAGAGAAGAGAAGAGACGCTGCTTATTTTATATGACATGCGAGATTCTGAAATCTTCACCAATAGCTAAATCAGTCTGCTACTAGACTAAGTAAGAGTCAGCCTGATTTATTGAAGCCACTTTAAAACTAGATCCATCTTAGCCTAATCAGTTGAAGCCTTTCAATGAGGATTCCTTAACTGATTGAAGTGCTTGTCAGTTAAACTTGTATCCTTAGATAATAGAAAGTTATGTAGTCTCGCAATCCAAAAGATTGCTCCAGCTCTTTTGTTCTCTTCTTGTTTTCATACCGATCAATCATCTAAGTTCTATAAGTATTGCTCTTGACGAAAATTTGAGTATTTATCATATGCTTCTGTGTTCCGAGTATTTTATGGGCAATGCAGCATATGTAGAAGATTGAGTATAATATAAACTTGAAAGTACCCTATTAGCGTTGTGATATAAATCTCCAAGAAAATTCCTGAAAGCGGTGATATGGACATCTCGCTGTGAGCAAGACTTTCAATGTTTTATCTGTAGGAGTTTCCGCTCGAAATGAAGCAGTACACACAGAGTGAGGGAAAGTTTTTCCTAGGTGACCGAGATATAGCGCAGGTTGCCTGGATCTGATCGACGTTATATAAATACAGATGAAAAAGCAGCATGTGATCAAATTGTGTTCCATTAGGTTAAAAACCTCTTTGAGAGCAAATTTATTGATCTAGCAGCGTTAAGTAATCCGACAGGTTTGCCACGTGTTTCTATGTCTGTGAGCCAGGCTCTGGCACAGAAAAACACAGTTTGCACACCGCTTATCACTGTATATTGCTTTGCGCTGTTCATTTAGTTACACAGCTCCAGTCTTGTATGAGAGTTTGTATCGACCTGTTGGCTCAAATTGATAAAGCAGACAGGAATATTATTACGCACCGAAAATTTGCCTCGAGTGTCTTCTTTGTGTCCGGCTTGTTCTGGAACGAGAAGGAATCAGCTCTAAATTATACCAGAATACCCTCAATGCCAACATTTTCACAGCTTAATAGATGCAGTCATGCCATCGCTGCAAAGCTGCCACGTTGCCTGGCTAGTTGGCCACTCTCTTTCCTTTGATAAAGACTCGATTCAAGTCGGAGGCGACGGCGGCAAATCTTGAATGACTACAGCTGCAGTCCCTCTCGCTTTCTAAAATTTCCTATTTGAAATAGAGTCGTTTTCTTCATAGTAGGAAACTCCAATATATAGACAGATCGATAGATATCCTTCTTCATCGTAGCCTAGCAGCAACTGAGTGCCTTGATTCCGTAGCCAAACCTTTTGTGAAGCATAGTCCTGATCTGTATAGACTTAATATCTTGACTCTGACTCCAAAACGATGCGAAGGGCGACTGTGCGTGAAAGCGACAGGGCCTTCCCAGGGGAGGGGTCAGAGCCAGACGATCGAGCGTCGCCCCGTCCGTCCAAACCACTTCGGGTTCCGCTTTGCTGTCGCGCAGGAACAACCACGAGTCACTTTCGGATTCTCCGTGTGTCGCCAACGTAAAAGCAAAACATCATATCGATTTCAACACTAGAGACAAAATGGGCGTTTCTGTTAACTCGTGCGACTCACCTCTAGCATTACCCAGTGCTAGAAGTCTACCAACTACGAAAGAGAATAATCATCCACCACGATGGCGTCCTGATACTGCAAGTGACGCGTGTTTGTGCTGTGGGAACAACTTTTCCATTTGGACGCGGCGTCGTCACCATTGTCGCGCTTGTGGAGAGCTCGTGTGCGGTGAGTGTTCCCCATTCCATGTTCAACTACCTGAACTTGGCTACAAAGGTCGTGTTCGTGTTTGCACCCATTGCAATGCACTTGCCGAGTCTTCACTTAACTCTTCCGCCTCTACGGACTCTTTAACTGGTCTTGAGTCAGCTGCTGCATCTAGTGAATCCTCGGACAATGAACAACTTGGTGACGTTGAAGAAGAACTCATTGTTGCGGCGGTGGATTTGTTGGCGCTTACATCGCGAAATAAGTGCTCAAAAGTACAGTATCAATACTTTGTGCAATCCGAAGCTGTAAGTTGGCTCATGGATGCAGGCATCATGTCTAGTCGCACTGGATGTGCCGCTCTTTTCTTGCGTCTTGTGGATTATGGTTACGTGACGCTTAAGCCATGGAATGGCTCAGGTCGTAGCGCTTTTTACATTCTCGCAGAAGAATTAACGCTCGAAAATCGCATGTCGCGCTATGACACTGCTATTCACTCGGAGACGAGCAAGTGCAACAATTGCGCACAATCCTTTCAAAAAGCTTTTACACCCGCGGATGGGTTTTGCTCCATCGACTGCAAAACCAATGCGCTCATTAGCCAGTCGGACTCGGCTCGAATTCGCAGCTTTTGCAATTAAAGCAACGAGCTGATGCTTCCGACATTCATCAATTTATCTATCGACGCTCATGTCGGCGACGCCCGTTCTGTAGTATAAAGTGCTCATGTGAATTTGCAAACAGTACATGTAGTTAAAATTGTGGGGCAAGAGCTGCACGTCGTAATCAAAATATTCGTTTATTTGAATTTGCACATGTGTGCAGGTTAGTCATTTAAATTCCGTGAGTTTCTTATAAGTAGTTTAACATGTCGATCGCATGCGAACAGTAGCTTTATATCGTGCTGAAAGATGCTGCATATATGTGGAAACAATTTCTACCATCTATATTTTATTATCAGTATTCATCTTGTTTAAGCGTTGACTCGGTCAGGTAGCTTAGAAGTTACGAGCTTCATTTCGCTTGGCGGCCACAATACGGCCACAACACGCGAATCAATGAGAGCGAGTGGCACAGGACCGAATGAATCACTATCTTCGCTAATTGCGGGATTGTCCCCTTCAATCCAACACTTACCCACAGGTACTATACGATGGCCGCCTTTGCGATCGGTAACGAGGTCTCCTTCAAGTGCAACAAGTCGTTTGATCAGATATTGGCCCGGTGACTCGGGTGACTTCAAGACCACCACGTCGCCACGCTCATAGCGGTGCCGCACTTGTATCGAAAACTTGTCCAACAGTACGCGGTCGCGCACCACGTCTTGTGTCAGTCCGTCGTTTAGCACCGGCTGCATAGAACGTCCTTTAACACTTGCTAGACTGATACCTAATGCATTAACTGTTACGCCCACTGGCAGCCATAGCACGAACTTCGCCGCAGTTTGCCATACGCCCATGTTTCGCCAATTAGTAGCGTATTCACTTTAAAAAGAATATTCATAGTAAAAATTTGGGATTCATCGATTACACTAATAACCACTTCACGTGTACCTCGGTAATTTACATTTTAGTCATTAGTGATTCCGCACACGTGCATAAACGAATATAACGTGGCGACCACGAGAAAATGTAGTAACAAAATGTATCCAAACGCCATGTTGCGAGTAATACGATGGCCTAATAACAGTCTGGCGCTCGTTAACAAAATTTTATCCACCGGATTGAGATGTGTAAAGCGCTGCTGTGTCTCCATCTTATTGAATTGAACAAATGGATTCATCTTTTCTTCGTACATGCCACGGTAACGCGCTTCAACGTCGTACGCACTTCCATTTCCTTCTTCAAGCACCAAATGCGGCTTGATACGAGGTCCTACTGACTTGTTGCCTTCTTTATAACTCTGCAAGTAGCGAATCTTGTGGTATAATTGCATATTATCCGTCTCAAGTCGCACGACTGTGCTTTTATATGACTGTGCAAGCTGTTCTACTCGATTTTTCTCGTTTTGCAATTCTTTGATACGCTCGCGAAATCGATCACGCTGACCACGGACAATCTCTAACATTTTCCCATCTGACGACGAAGTTGATATAGCCGTAGTATCTGCTACAGCCCCATGATTACGTGCAGTGACTAAAGGCCCAGTAAATTGATCTTCCATGGCATCCATAAGGATCTCCGAGCCAACATCACCACCAATTACACCTAATGTGCGTTTCTGTTGAGTCTTCTCTAATGTTGCAACACTCTCTTCCAAGTCGCGTATAAGATTCGCCTGCTCTTGAATTCGGACATCACGATCGTGAAGCTCGCTTTGAATACTTTGCACTTGTATCGTGCGAGAATGCACCCTCCGTTCGCACTCTTGAAGAGCGTGCTCTAAACGACGCACTCGAGACATTAAAATTTGTTCTACCTCAACTGTTGCTTCGTCAAAACGATCCACAGCTTCAGTATTTTCACCTGCCTTAGAACTTACATCCACTTCCTCCACAACATTGTATTCCAACTGTTTTAGAATTCGCAATTGTCGGGACATCTCATTGAATTTCTCACAAGTTGGTCGTAATGCCAGCTGGGCTTCGAGATCTTTCTGTGCTTGTTCTGCACTTTCTAGCGCAGCCTTCAGTTGTTCCGCTTCTACTGTAGCAGCTGCACTTGATGTAGTAAGTGTTTCATTTAAACGTATTATCTCTTGACGCAATGCAGCCTCGACTTGTTCTTGCTTTGCTTGCAATTCACGCGCTGACTGCACGCCTGTCTCTGGATCAGTATTTGAATGAATTGACAATTGAGTGACAATAACGTCAGACAACACTGAAGACCTATGCAGTTCTTCGACCTGCTTTCTAAGTTGTGCATTTTCTAATTGCAGCGTCTGCGACATCGCTTCCATTTCTGCGTCAAGAGCATTACGAGCTAAGCCTGAGCGTTGTTTGAGTGCAAACAAATTTGACTGCATAGCATCCATCTTGGCAAATGCATCACGTAATTCAGTACGAGATGCTTCTAGCTGACGTTCGTAATCTCGACGCTGTTGTGCCCACTCAAGTTGTGCATTATCCAGCTGATCTACCAATTCTTTGGTACGTTGCTCCACCTGCTGATACAAAAAATCTTCGTGGTTTCTTTCAGTGGCAGCAACCTGCTCTTCTAATTTTCTAATAGTAATTTCTTGATTCTTGAGCGACGTAAACTCGGCCTTATATTCTTTCAGCTTGCGCTTCAATTTCGTGTTTTCATCAACCAATTCGTCAATTTCCAAACTCGAAGCAACTATACTTAATGCTGGTACTGGATCAGGAGCAGCATAAAGTCCCTTGTAAAGTTGAAAAAAAGCGTTCTCTGAGAACTTGGCGCGACGTGTCAAATGGTCAATTTCCTCCTGGTAGGTTTTAAGCAGCGGCCCTGCACCCGCCGCTTTATCTGCATCAGCTGTCAGACGTCGAAATTGCTTGGTGCTCTCTGCCAGCTTCTTGCGAGATCGAACACTCGCGTCTTTTTCGCTCTTCATTGTATTGCCTTGTGAGTCGAGTAGTACGCGCTTACTGTCAAGATCAAACGCCTTCCAGAATTGCAAAACCGGCAGTACACTAAGTCGACTGGCAGAAGAACGATGACGTGAACGGGAGTTACCCTCGCTACTTCTCGGAGGCAGCTCCGTCATGACCTCGTCGCCTGCCATTTGAACCATTTGGGAGCGATTTCAGCGCGAGCAGATGGAAAGACGGGTAAAGAAATACAAGAGATTGTATAGAAGATAGGAATACGCAACTAGCGTTCTCTTCCTTGTTTATCGAGGCGAGAGATTTAAGATGGAGCAGTCGCGTGTGCGTGGCGACTTTTTTTCAGAATTTAAGAACTTGCTATTGCAAAGGGATTTTTCAATAAAAGAACAATATTAAGCATGCGTCAAGCATTGATTCGAACACTGCGTCTGAACGCCACGAAAGCGTCTTTAGCTGGTGTACAATGTCGGATGAAGTCAACGCACGTTTCGGTGGTTGGTGCGATATGTGATAGCTTTAGACTAAAAATTTATTATTGTGGCATTTTGTTGACGTTGACAAGTGCAGGTTTGCACTGGAAGACGGACGAGACGCGACTGCGCGAAGTGTTTGCCGAATTCGGAACACTAGAAGATGCCAAGCTGGTGAAACCTGATCACTCGTATATGCACTTATGGGCATACCTGGTTTATTCAACATTTGATGAAGCATTAGAGGCAGCGATTGAGATGAACGGCCAGGAACTGGATGGCCGTTTGCTGCGCGTGAGTATCGTGGATCCACCAGAAGAGGATGATTGAACTAGTAAAGTACATAATAAGAATATAATGTGTCCGATCTTGTAATTTATCGTGGTGTTACTCAGTTATGGACTTCGCTTGCGTATTCTTCCATGTTAGAAGACCTTGGAAATCATCTGTGACATACGCAAGTAGCATGGACAATTTGGCGTTTGCACGAGCAGCTCCAACACTCACACGAGATATATTCTGTGTTGTTTGATTACCGGAACGGGCTGCAACAACTTTGCTAAGCTCATAATTCTTCTCATGCATCTCGCAAGCGCGCTGAAAGTTCTGCGAAGCTGTGTAGATCTGACCAAGGCGCGCACATGCGTCGGCTTGGCTGGTCAGATTTTCAGCTCTTGTTGCAATAGCCAAGTATTGATTTAAAAACTCGATCGATTGCTGCTGATTTCCAAGTTTATCGTGTGCGGTAGCTAGTGCTGCACAAGCGTTGCACTCTCCGTCAAAGTTGCCACTTTGACGTGCTGCGGAAAGCTACCAGACAGTAAGAAGACGTACACAATACAAATACAATGATAATGATGATATCACTCACATATTGTTCCAGAAAGGGTAGTCCATCAGCAGGTTCATTTAAGGCATTGTAACAAATGCCGATTTTGAATTGCGAGTGAGTCTGAGCTTCAACGTTGTAAGAAGTTATCGCACAGTCGAGACAAAGTCTATACAGATCAATGGCTGCAACAAACTCTTCTTCCCGCTCAGATCGCAACGCCATGTCACCGTAAACTTTGCCAAGGTGTGTATACGCCTCTACACAAAGTTCCTTATCGTTCGTATAAGTCTTGGCAATGGCCACGCAAAGCTCGAGGTACTGACGAGCTTGATCCAGCTTATTCATTACATGGTATCCGATGCCAATTTGAAGCAATATTTGCATTTCCCTAGTCTGATCATTGGTATGTCTTGCAATTTCAAGACACTTTTCATTGAAAAAGATCATCGTCGCATTATCTTGCCTTTCCATAAAATATGTTGCTAAGCTATCGTAGGCGGCCATCACGTCTAAATACTCGTCTCTTCGTTTGGAAAGCTCAATTAACACCAATTGGTCACGCAAAAACTTCATCTCTGCTACGGAAAAGGAGCCAGACTCTGCCATTGCACCATTAATGTCTTGCTGAGACTTCGAAGAACATCCACCTCCTTTATGCTGGTCGTTGCGATGCATGAGATGAAAGAAATCGACGAATGACTGCACATGTCCATCAATAAGCAGCTGTGTGCATAAATGTTCCTCCATAGTTGGTTGTTGTTCAGCTTTGGACGTATCACCGAAAGTGTGATTAGCCAGGACTTCATCTCGAGTATTCGCTTGCAGACCGGATCCTCGCATGGGCTGTATTCTAGCAGGCTTCTGCTGAGCTTCAAGTACTATACGCGTATCATTATCCACCAATAATTGACTGGAGCTACTAGTATCGACCTGCTGTCTTCCAATTCGCTTCTTGCTTGCCATGAACGTTGTAAACCCACATGGTGACAAAACTGCGTCGTTTCGCGTCCTCGTACTTAAACTATTATCCGCACTTAAGCTCGAGCAATAATATTGTCGCAACACAATAATGACCCAAGAACGTGAAGGTCTGGCTGGTCTCCTCAATTCGTAGCAATCACAGGAATCAAACTTAATTTCTGTCATCACGTATTGATGTAGAGTTTATTGCCGTGTGTGGGAAGCTAAAGCAGGAGGTACTGGAGCTTCTTGCTAGTAAATACCAATTACCCCAAGATGCTCTTGACTGGGTCAACGAGGTTATTGACTATAATTGCATGGGCGGCAAGCTCAATCGCGGTATGAGCGTCGTGGACTGGTTTGTAAAATTGAGTGTTGAAATCGCTATACATTCTTATTAATAACAAGGATTACAGCACCCAGGCATTGGCACCGGGGAAGATCCTCACAATCGAGCTAAAAGAGAACGCGAGCGTTTTGGGATGGTGTATTGAGTGGGTATGTCATGTTGACTGCCCAAGTGTTTTCTTTTATATAATTCACATCATTCGTATGTCTTGGTCAGCTGCAAGCATTTTTCTTAGTTGCAGACGATATTATGGATGATTCTACTACGCGTCGCGGTCAGCCGTGTTGGTATCGCAAGCCCAACGTCAAGATGATTGCAATTAATGATGCTTTCCTACTGGAAGCATTTGTGTTTCAGATTTTCAAAAAAAAGTTTCGTTCGGAGCCGTTCTATAGTGATTTAGTGGATACCTTTCACGATGTACGTACAAATTGATCTTACCATGCATTTATCGAGAGCATGAGATGTATTGTTATTATTAAATAGGTTGTATTTCACACGGAGATCGGTCAGCTATTGGATCTGACGTCTCAGCCATTAAATGCCGAGCTAGATTTGGACCGTTTTACTGTCGAGCGGTAAGAAGAATTGTTTTTTCTTTTGAAGAATTGCAGTCATTGATGTGGTTTCAACAGATACCGTCAAATTGTGATCAATAAGACGGCGTATTACACGTTCTATCTTTCAACTGCATGTGCTATGTTTCTGAATGGGGTAGTAGATGAGGCTTCGCATAACGTCGCGAAAAAGATTTGTCTACTGATCGGTGAATACTTTCAAGTTCAAGACGATTTTCTTGACTGCTACGGTGATGAAAAAGTGATCGGCAAAGTAGGAACAGATATACAGGACAATAAATGCAGCTGGCTCGTTGTCCAAGCACTTATTCGCGCGACTCCTGAACAGAAAGAGCAACTAAAAATCAATTACGGCCGTCACGATGCCGCAGCTATTGAGAGTGTCAAGAGACTGTACAATGAGCTCGACCTCGTCAGTATTTATCATCATTACGAGGATGAAACGTACAAGACTCTTATGGATGAGATTGCCAATGTTTCAATCATGCCGTCTGAAATTTTCTCTTTGTTGGTCAACAAGATCTTCAAGCGCAACAAGTAAATTTATCGAGAACAACGATTTACTTTTCAAGGATACAATTTGGAATGAGAGACGAGTTTTGATATACAAACCTTTAAAAATGTGTCTGAGCAAAACGATTTGTTGGTGGTAAACTTGCGAGCCTTAACGATATAGAGTAATTGGGAAGTTTTCAGTTATCATGCTGCCGTTTTCGAAGAGAACGACAACGTTCGTTTCGAACTCAACCTTAAAAGCTGTGGAAAGAAAATTTAAATTTGACAAAGTTCGAATAAAAGAGTGAATTTATGAGATAACGTACTAGGGGTCAACATTGTCGGGCATGTAAACAACCGCGGAAAGATCATGTAGATGGGAATTGGCATTTGGCGACAAACGTCACCCCATCCAATTTGAACATTTTGAATCTCAGTTGCTGTTGAAGCATAAATTGGAACACTAAACGATCAGTCTTTGATAAAAATCGTAGCAAATTATCATTCATGACTCGCCATCTTTCGCAATTCCTTCGTCATGAGCCACACTTTCAACTCGAATTAGCTGTAATTCTACCGACTTGATTGGACTCTTTGCTTCCTCAATTATTACCTGTAGCAGTTAGTAATTAGTAAGCTCAGGCTAGACTAAAGCAATTACATCATGCATACCTCGCCAGTAAATGGTAAATTTATTGGGCAATTTGTGCGGTGAATCTTACCTGTGATATGAAAGGATGGCATCATCGATAGCCTTTGCTGTCAACATTAAACCGGTCAGACTGACCAATTTCATTTTTATACGCTATCAGTTACCACCTGTCGAACGTTCTCTAACGACTTAGGAGTGATATGAAACTCTTGAGGGGAATCTGGAAGTGGTTCCTTCAGCTACATATTTCAAAGCAACCTTCATGTTAACATCAATTTACTCATTACTCAAATGTACTCACCGGTACTTCCACCACAAACTCCAAACTTTTCTGTAACTTGTTCTTCATAATGCTTCGAATACAATCGCAAATAATCGCGTATTTAACTGAAATGTAGACGCCGTGATACGTTTCCAGCAATTTCTGGTCCTCGTTGCCTTGTAGCTCAAACTCAAAGGGAAATTTGGAGATACCAGGCGGTACTTTGCCTGCTGGAGCCACGGGAAGATGAAAATATACGAGCTCTAGAGGCTTTACATTATGATGAGGTGACTCAAAGAATCCTTTGCTCTTAGTGGAAACCTGAAGACGTGCACTGCCCTCGACCTTCATAGCCAGACCTTGGTGGGAGAAACCCTTGGGCGACGAGATGACCACCTGACCTTGCACGATTTCCTATAAAGACCAGTGCGCACATGTTATTTCTAAGACAGTAGTTTAATTTAGAAACATGTACATGAGGGCGAAAGATGCGGTCGATACGATTGAGAATTACGTCAATTGTAGAGCTCATTTCTAAGGGTATGGATACGATTCCGATGTCATTAGTTTGATATACTTCGTACGGGATAAAACCAAAAAAATGCTTTATGTTATTTGTAGGCAAAAAGCATGTCTCTCGTACTAGACTGTAATTGTATAATCTAATAGAAACGAGTCGATAACCATTAATTGCTATCTCGCTTTAAACTTAGCCAAGTTATGACGTTCCGATTGCTTTGAAAAGTTCGAGCTCTTAAAGCTTTGCTCACTGGAGACAACATCGTGTCTGTTGGGCTAGGAAACACACTGTGGAAAGGATCAGACCTTTTAAATTCAGTAAATAGACTGAAAGAACGTACTTTTGTAGCTGTCTTATGCGATCGATGGCAATGTCTTCGTTCTTGCAGCAAACAAAAAGCAGCTCTTTGCGGATGTGGGCAGAATTAGTGTGGTCGTTGTGGCTGAAAGACATAAGTATCTATTTAACTGCCTGATCGGAGTAGGTCTATGAACGCGAAATGAGAAATGGTGGTAGTTGCAAGCAGTTTGACTCGATGACGAACAATGAAAGAGCCGAACATTACATCTCGTTCGTTTGTTGCGTTCAAGCGTCTTGGTTCAAAGGCCGCAGCCGTTTCTCAAGCTAAGGCTTATTGTTGCTGATCATGCTCATCTTGCGAACGCGTGAAGCAGTTTCGTATATGAGATGGATAACGACGAAAAGTTTGAGTCTCAGACCTGTTGATAAATACGTCTATGTGGCTGAATACGATACTTTTTGTGGGTACGTGCCTGGATTACCGTTTCGCTGTGAGCCTGTCAGAAGTGTCCTTTACAGGATAACATACAGCATGAGTCAAAACTACAATGGAATTAATTCTCTTCTTCATTCTTGTCAATGTTAATAACTTTTGATACAATTCTATCAATTGCTACCCCATTCAAGTTGTTGTAGATTTGAGACGTAGAAGTGTTTGCATTCAGGAGACTCAGCAACGCCTGAATTCGTAAATATATATCTCCGCTGTTAACTGACAACTCGGATATTTTGATTTGTAACGCCCAAGTACACAAAACATTTCGCCGAACAGATCCTACATAAAAGCAATACATACATTCACACAAGATTTTTGAAATCTCTAAAAGCCGACTATTTCTACTTATAAGGTATGTAGGGATCAGAATGAACTGATGAATATTCGTAAAAATCCAAATAGAATCAGCCGATTCTACATAACAACTAACGCTTGATTTTTCCTACCATTACAGTGCTTGGGTTGAATAGGCACAAACTGCCAGCTTCTTGCGCCACGTGATCCTGTGTTTTTCACGTTGCTGTTGCTCAAGTTTGATGAGTTCATCGCGGCGCTGAAGTCGTCTCACACGGTCTTGAACACGTATTCGAGCCAGCCAAGCATTATAAGCTTGTTGATTTTCGAATTCTGAATGTTTGGAACGCAATTTACTTTCAATCACAGAGGTATGTTCTGCTGTGCGAGTTGATCCTTTTTTCAATTTCGGATTTACATGCAAAGACGGAGGTTTACAATATGGTTTAGGCTGATCATAATGACAAATTAGCAAGTATATGCTACAGCACAATCAATGATGCACACCTTAGCACTGCCACTAGTATCAGCATCGTCTGCATTCTTTTGTTTTTTAATCATGCGTTTTCGACGAAGCCAATCTCGAAAAGATGCATCAATTTCTGCTGCAGTACGCAGACGATCAGTAGCAATTCGCTCTTGTATGCGATAATTTTGGTGAGCTCTAATCTTTTCCTTTAACCAGATATCAAACGGCATAGACTTGTGGATCTATATACCATTCAGCTTTTGAGAGGTTCACGTATTTCAAACTTGAAAAGAAATGACTAGCACCTTATGAATCTGTTGCTGACACGCACTTTCCACATTTATCGGATCAAATCGTTGCTGCCAATGCCATGCCATGCTAATCTTATGCGTCACAAGATGCAGTGTCAAGCATTGTCGATCAACTTTGATCATGTAGCCATATTTAGCAAAGGTATAAATATATAAAAAATAACCAAAGTATAACCTTAGTAAAGTGTGTTCGTAATATACAATAGGCAAGGTAACATTTCAATACTTCCCTTTATCCTAAGGTTTTTCTGCGTTCTTAACTGGTCAATTTGTATCTATTTTGTGAGATAATTAACGCGCCCCCGTTCCGCCACTGACAGAGCCTCTTTTCAATCGACCAATAGCCCGAAGCGGAAGGTAAGTTCACGCCCAATGAGAGCGAAGCGTCTTTTTCCGCCTATAACAAGCTCCGTTCACTCACGTCTGTGTGTATGTCGTCATGTTTGATGTCCTCGATGCGTTTAGTAGGACGTTCTAATACGAGACCTTATTGTCATGTCCAACGACGAAGAAGCAAATGCCACTAGTACGAACTTGCAGATGCAATTGCAGCTTCAGAATCAACGCGCGCAGATGCAGCAGCAGCAACTTGCACTTCATGCTTTTTGGCAACATCAGATTCAAGACATTTCGCAGATCGACCCGAATGCTTATGATTTTAAAACGCATCAGTTACCACTTGCACGTATTAAGAAAATCATGAAAACAGACGAAGACGTACGGATGATTAGTGCTGAAGCGCCTGTGCTGTTTGCCAAGGCGTGTGAAATGTTTATTCTTGAACTCAGTCTTCGAGCTTGGATCCACACTGAGGAAAACAAACGTCGCACACTGCAGCGCAATGACATTGCGATGGCTATTACAAAGACCGACGTTTTTGATTTTCTTATCGATATCGTTCCGCGAGACGATATCAAACCCGCTAAAAAGGTACGAACTACTCAAGCTCCTGATCTACAACTAGACTGACATTGCAGAATCAATTTTTAGGGTCCAGTAGATCCGCAGGCAGTATATCAACAGCAACTTCAGCAACAACAAGCAGCGATGCTGCAGCAGCTTTTACAGACCCAACAAAATGGTGCAGTGGCTGGGGGTCTTGCTTGGCCTAATCAACAGTTGCAACAGCAAATGATTCAGCAGTATCAAAGGATGCAGCAGAATGCAGTAGCGTCTATAGGTGGTGTTTCTGCCTCAAATGGTGCTATACCGAATTTGTCATCCTCTGGTAATGATGGAGTTGGTCAAGCTTCGGCGAACAGTACACCTGATGGCAATTCATCTACGTCTGACCAGCTCTCTTTGAACCAACGCAGTGTAGATGTATAAGTACGTTCTGTACGACACTGTCTGAAAGACGGGCAACCTCATCGTGTTTTATAATTAAATTTGCAACCTTTTCTTACCTTTACGAATGGCATTTACGTTTTCTTCTCTGCAACGTCAATTCCAACAATGATCCAGAAATTGTATCAATATCGTCTATTTAAGTTATCTGAGCAATCTACTCCGATGTTTTGACTGTAAGTGGCAACGGTAACATTGTTGCCTGCTTCTCAGAGATCTTGACTAGCTGGTACGTACCCACTCCCGCAATCTGTACGAACGATAGCACCACACACGAGACTTATTGTCAGAATAGATATATAACTTAACAAGTAGAAGTACGTACCGCAAGCAGCATGCCTGAAATCGACTGGAAAGTCACCGGGTTCCCGAAGTATAAAACGGCACTAAGAATAACGACAACACGCTTCATCGTGCTCATAATTGAAAATGTAAGTTCTGAAACTTCTCCCAGCACCCACGAAGAACAGAAACTTCCGACAAAGTGCATCATACTGCACAATAACACTTTGGTAAACGGAAAACTTGCTACAAAGTTGTCTTGGTGTGCACGAGCAGCCATGAGTACGAATGGGGCATTGATTGCAAAAGACACAAATGCACTGTAAAAGTGAAGCTGCGGATAATATAGACATATTAGGTTGAGATGATACATAAATTGATGAGCTGTACTCACGTTGACGGTATCCAACACAATTCGACGGCGCAAAAGGAACTTTGCATACATACTCTGCATCACACCCAGGAGAGCTGACACGACGGCAAATACAACGCCAGAAAGAGCCAAATCCTGTACAACACCAAGATTGTTAAGCTAGTGCATCAAAGATGAAAAGTTAAACGAATTGCTTACATTCATGCCCATTTCAGACACAGAAGCCATAACAACGCCAAAAACGATTGGAACAAGACTTGAATACGTGGCAATTGAAAATCGCGAGCGATAGACCATATAAGCCAATACCACATTAAAAAAGGGCTGAGAGGCTTTACATGTCTGTGCGATGGATACAGGCACGGCATTATAGCTCCAATATGTAAGTGTCTTGGCCATGACTGAAAAGAGACTCAATGGTACGATCCATATGATACTGCGCATACGTATGCGCTGCATCCTCCACGCTCCAGACGTCGAGGAATTTGGAAGTGTCAATACAACGACTATGATGATCCACAAAAAAACAAATGAGTATTTATGGTCTCATTACAGCAAGTAGTAATCGTACAGTCGAGAAGAATACTGATAAAAAGGTGACACATTGTCAGCATTTCAGCCGATACATGATGCTCTTTAATCAAAACTTTATTCGTAAAAGTAGCAGATGCAGAGAAAAAATACCAGACGCAAAGACTGACAGTAATCTGGAAATATAAGCACAAGTGAGATGCGAGAGGATAGTGCATATCCATAACTTTTGACTCACCCGAATCGCCTTGTTCTGTCGCAATTGACTAATACTATGACCCTTGATAGCCTTGTATTCTTTAATGGGTACGCCCATTCCACCTTCGAGGTCGTACATGGGGTACGAAGCCTTCATGCGCACTTCCGTGACGCTAGAGCCTACACGTCGGCGACAAAAAGCAACTTTACAAGTTCGAACTGAATATTTCTATGCGACTGGCAATGCAGAAACTGCCTAGTCTTTTCTTTAATTGGAAAAGTCTAACTGGGTTAATTTCTGTCGTATATTTTATAATGTATTCAAGGATATGTAAAGCTGCAAAAGGATATAATACGTTACGGTCGTGCTAGAATTTATGTAATGAGACAAAGTATTATTTTAAAAGATCATTTAAGATGAAACCGAATTAGCATCGTCTGGTAGAAACTCTGACGTAAGTATTCAATCTTCGCGAACGAGTCAATTGATATTGGCGATGACGTGACGAATGATTAGCAGTCGTAAATGATGATTTTTTTGGTTTTACTAATCGCGCTGACACTAGTAAACAGAGCGATGGTATACTTAAACATCCTCGTAGCAAAATGAAGGTCTAAGATTCTTCTCGAGAAAAAGTAATTCTATAATGTCTGGAAACTATGTGCAGGCATTATTATTATTAGATATACAGTGCATCAGCATTTTATAAAAAAGCGACTGACAATTTGAAGAACAATTGGGTATTGGAGGCATCCAATGCAAATCTTGCCGCAGTCATCAGACACGTATAAATACCGTCATGAATAACTGGGTAAGTCTTTTCAAGCGCATTCCAATGCTGAGGTTCAAAGTGTGTGACTCATAAAGTCAAATCATGTACTGCAGACGCAGCCGCTGGCTCTACCTTAACAGCTGCTAACACAATATTTAAAACGTATTCGCATTATTGAAGCGTATAAAATAAACAACTTCCATTAAGCGGGCAGTTTGATACTTGCTTACAAGCATCATTTTCGTTATGATGATTGCGACGTTTAATGTGCGCTAAATGACTTTTTAGTAGTCAAAAATACAAAAAATGGTAATGTTGTACATTAGGTATCGCTTGCATCATATCATCTCTTTCGGGCTCCGTACACATTTTTATTTTGTAAACTTTGTCTCCTAACCAGTGGACTCCATCTGTGCAAACTCTCGCATATGAAGCATCAGTGGTGCAGACGTGCATGCTCGCGACCAGATCTTGATATAGAAAAGGCGTATGATCAGACTTATACAAATTCACAGAGCGAGAATACCAAACTTTACGGCATGAGCTAGTGTAAAAGTATTACGAATGTGATTATAGCGACGAAGAAGTTTGCTTGTCATAGCTCGCTGACAACGGAGTCGGAAGTATGGCATCGTATATACGCTCAAAAAGTATGGTAGCTATCTCAGTTCTGGTAGTGTAATCTCGTTTGATAAGTGTAGTTTGAGTGATTCAAACTAGAACAAATCTGGCTTTCCAGACGCGCTGCACAGAGCAAAGTGTCTGATTTTAGATGGCAAGACAAAAGCGCACACTTAGAAGGACAAAATGATGGCTAGAATTATTTTACTGCACATTACTGTTTGTAGATGGTCGATCAATCTCTACAGTGTATAAAAAAGATATCAAGACAACAGATGTCTAACGAGCGCTTATGTATTAAAAGATCGTACAGCGTACAAATCTTGGATCTCCGTTTATATTTAAAGTGGTCTCATCTTTGAGACAGGAGATTCACATGAAATAAGTGCTAGATCGGAGCTTAGATCCTTCGAATGCCTTTAGTTCGCAACCTCGCATGAATATTTACCAGCTCACAGTAACGAGTTTAATGTGATTCTAAATTTGCCTTCAGACCAAGTCATTCGAAAACTAGAAATAGCTAGCACATGATGGTCCCGGAGACGGAGACAAATGACTATGTGCCGATTGAGTTTTTGCTTGGGGCACGAGTGCAACGCTACACAAAGAAATTCACTCGTAACTTTCAAGATGGTAGCGTCAAAGTACGTTTGATGTCGAAAGTACAATAAGAATAATATTGGCTAAACAAACTTTGATTGTATAACTAGTCTACGCATCTATTTGAACCATCAATTCACCCACGAAGACGAGAGGAACAAGCTCGACAATTGTTACAACGAATTTTAAACGAAAAAAACACTGACATGGGTACCTCGTCATTAGTTCCACGACTACAAAGTGAGATGAACTATAAAGACGTCGATCTCAGTCCTATCCGGATCAATAGATCTCAAAAGCATGAAATTCAGTACGAGAAGAAACGAAGTCATATTTCATTGTTAGATGTTACTGGAATTGCCACACGACCAGTTAAAAATGTTGGACTTAATCAAATGAAAGCAAGAAATGAATTGAAAGACGAGAGAATGAAACAACTACGTCAAGTTTTGCAATACCAGCAGCATCATACACGACATGCACTGAATGAATATGAGAAAATGAACAAACAGGTGCATTTGAGTCGAAAACATTCGCACATTTTGTCGAAAAAAATACTTTTGTTGGAAAGCATTGAAAAGGGGGATAGAAGCAATAACGTCATGAATGAATCGAACGTTCCGTCGCGACAGCTTTTGGATTCAAACTATGCACAGCAATCACCTGTTCTGGTATCTAGGACTTTAAAGGCACGACCGTTATCTCCACGGCGCGACTTAAACGAAACTTTACTTTCGATATCTCAAAACAAAAATGAAAGTCACGTGGATCTTCAAAAGAAGCATAAACAACTTCATGAACTATTGGCTCAACGACAACGTGAGATTTTTATTGGCAGTGCTACTGGTTTATTTCTTGGTGGAGGCTTTATGTCGAAAAGTTCAAAACCTACATCTTTAAAACGATGTGCTAGCTCTGTTTCTGACGATTATGGAAAGATTCAGGGTGCACAAATGGCTCTACTTCCTCTACGTCAAACCAATCGACCTACACTTCGTCATAGCGAAGGAAATTCACAGGCGGTGCCTTCTTGACAAATTTCATTGAAATTTTCAAGAATCTCACGTAAATGTGTTCACTTTGATGTCGAACACGTTCATGTTGCCATCTCAAGCTTCTATCTTAAATACGTCGGTCCTGGACGTGGCGTTTTCGACGTTGCCAAGGACTTTGTTGATCGGTTACTCCACGATTTAAACTCTTTGGTGTGCTAGTCCACGGTCGCTAAAGTAGACAATGTTAGCAAATTCATTCCAACTTGAACACTTTTGATCGAAAACTTACCTCAGAATTTCGGTGGCGAGGCACAGGAGAATGATACATTTGTTGTCTTTGATTCAAACCGTCGCTCTCAACGTTATATCTAGAGAGCGGAGATTCAAATTCTTCATTATCGTGCTCTGGTGTCATTAGACAAACTTCTTCAATACAAGAGTCGGCAGCATCGCTATCACCTTTGAATTTTGCCATAGCCTGTGCACGTTGCTGAGCTCGTAGCAAAGCTCGTTGATTCCTTCGCTTTCGACGCTTTTCTAACCATTTCTTGTGACGATAAACATTGTATACACGAGATAAGACACAAACTACTAGAAGTATGCTGCCTATCAGTAGGATAAATCCATCTAGTGTCATTCCAGTCGCAACGACTTTTGCTTGAGAATCATCAGCAGTCTCAGGTTTAACTTGATCAGAGATCGAAGATGCTACACTTTGTTTACTTTTGATCATAATCTCATCAACGTGAGCCGAGAGCTTCGATTCAACATTCAGTTGTGACTTATCTAACACCAATTTTTCGCCAAGTTGAGATTGAAACTTGTTTTGATCATTTGGTAATTCTCGAAAAGAAACTGAAACATCGTCGTTTTGCTGAATAGAAGCCAAGGTTTTAGCGTGATCTAGCGGTAATAAATCAATCTGTTGATCTTTTAAAGTGTCCTCTATCACATCATTTGATTCGACTTGGATTGCCATTGTTTCTTTCAATGTTTCAATGCTTTTATCAGCTTTCATATGATTGTGCATCATCTCTTGATCCATTTTCACCAGATCTTGAAGCTGCGATTGAATCAATTTGCGTTCTCTTTTCACTTCCTCTTGCGTCACATGAATGAGATGATGTCGCATCTCTTGCATTTCATCTACAAGTATATTTCGATACCTCTCGCGATCTTTCTGCGTTTGTTTAATATGATGACGTACTTGCAATAAAACCGCTTGGGCTTTGAGATCCATGTCTATAGTTGAAAGTTGAAACATCTCAACATTTTGTTGAAGCCTATGAACACGATTACGTATCTGTAATTGATTTTCTTTTGAAATCATAAGAGGCGATTGAATCATGATCCAGCCACAACCATTCAGAATTTCTTCCACAAAGAACCCACTTGTGCCAATCAAGAGACAAATCACAACCATAATCATATTCAATCGTGACATTTCAATATGAAATAGTGTTGTCACTAGATTTCCATTCAAAATATCGTTTTCATCAACTAAACATTCCTCTTTATGATCATCATATCCCTCTTTCCGATAGTGTTCTCCTACTGACGATGACAGTAAAGTAGGTGCATTCGAATCACTTCCACTATGCTTCCCTTGACATAAATTCCAACTCTTTTCATCCAGTAGCTTTTCATTCTTCCTCTTTTCATCTTGATGTTCCACTCTTTGATTTGATAAATTCCAATTCACTTTTGTCGAATGAAACAAATCTTTCCAATGTGTTTCATCCTTTTCATCTTCTGCAGCTTTTTCCAATAATCTTTCCGCTTGTTGTGCATCTTCTTCATCCCATTCTTTCATCTCAATTCCCTTCCCTTTCGATCGCATTGCAATTCTTCGCCATCTTTCAGGTGTTTTCATTTCATTTCCAAATGATTTTCTTACTGTCGTGTCAAGTCTTCGTTTTGACATTGGAGGTTTAATTCTTGAAAGTGCTAAATGCTGACGAAGTCCAGAACTTGAATTCTTGAATGAATAATCTTCTGGTCTTACTGGTGAATAAAATTCCATTCCATTCTTTTGTCTCAATCTCCTATCTTCGTCATCGCGTTCCTTAATAAATGTCATTAAAGTATCCTCTTCTACATCATAATACGACATCACTTTAGGTCTATAAGACTCCAAACTATCACAAATTAACGATGAAGCAAAATTTATACTCCGCTCTTGTGTTCTCTCACGACGTTTTTGATCCTGTTGACGTTGCCACTTAAGTAGCGCGTCTCGAATTGGGCTATTACTTCGACTTGCCGCCATTTTTATTGTCAAAATGTAACCTATCAGCGGTTACAATAAAAAAAAACTCTAACCTCTAAATTTTAATACTAAAACACCACATTTTAACAACCATCAAGTTCTATCAAAATTTTGATTCATTAGGCTAGAAACTCTTTGACTTGTGTGTTGTTGTTTATCTAAAGTACACCCGCTAACCTTGTCAACATAAAAAGCCACCACGATGGGACTGAAGTTTTCGTTGTTCCGTGAGGGCGGGCCCTTGGTGGGGGGCGTCACCATTGCCTTTCTGACCCACCAAAGCCTCACGAGTTAAAAAAAACGACGAGTTGAATCATTTGGACTCAACGTTTCTCTTCTTTCATGTAGAAAACCTTCAGAATACTCTTCACGAGTTGTAACAGACAAGATTTCACCCATTTTACGTTTAAATCGCTCACAATATGCAGCAGGAGGTAAAGCAGATAATCCATCCGCATCTTTTGCTAATAATTTTGTCTTTGCAAAACGTTCCAATTTTTTATCCATATTCCAAGTTTGAAGAATATCAATCAAACCAAAGTAATAGATTGATGGACCAACAACAGTATTTGCTCGACGTGTTCCTGTAGCTACTCGTGGTAAATGTATACGTGGTTTCGAATCACGACGATGACTTGTTGAAGTAGTTAAAGTATTTGTCGAATCGAAATTTGTACGACGTCTTGGACCAGTTGTTGAATCTTTTGATGGAAGACTCGAATCTTCTTCTAAATCTGGATTCACCATATATTCAACATTATGAATCCCTAATAACAACGAGTAATCCATAATTCCCAATCGTGATAGAAAATTCGCATCTTTTACCACTTGATGATATAATTCTTTTGCGACTTTAGGATCTAATCGAACTTTGGCAGTTAAATCATTATCTTTCAATATCACATTCGGTTCATGACGACCTACTCGTGCTCGACAATTCTCAGCATCAGTAGATCCAAATACATACTTGGCATTACAATGACGACATGTTACTCGTTTTCCTTTTGATGGATGTTTCGCACTACGATTAACCCAAGATCCTTTAATATCATAACGTCGATGAATCACTTTTTCAGTACTAAAGAGATTTGCCATGACAACAAAATTAAATGTATTGCCATATAATCGAATAGCATGACATCCATAGAATCTTGTAAGTAAACTATCGGGATTTGTTAACAAGAACGAAGCGTAATCAGCTGCAATGGAACGTAAAAACACTGATTCTTCATCACTCATACTCTTGACAATTAATTGTTGATCATGTGAGAAAAACATAAAGGCACCACTAGCACCTTCACTTAATCGTTCCTTTGTTGTTCGACTGAGACTTTCAATATATTGATTCGTTTTAATTCCAAAATGTTCCCGAATGGTTTGAAACGTATGAGGACAATAATCAATAAACAACGTTCCTTTACCAAGAGCAGCTTTTGGACGTGTTCGAATCATATATTCATCAACTCCAAGTGATCCACGATTATCTTCAGTACCTTGAGGTTGTAAATATAATTCTTGTTGATTTGCACCTGGTGGAAGATGTTGAGTATCACGAACTGCTTGAATAATTCCGGTGGTTGTATAATACAAAACTTCACAACGTAAAGCTAAATTCACTTGTGGACTTAAATCGACATCCACATCAACACCAGCTTTCATCCCTTTTCCTTTCTTCGCTACTTCATGAAAATCATTCATTTGAAACCAGACAACAAAATCAAAATATCCTTTACATGTAATCATGAAATTCATCATTTGAGCCACCCAACTCGAACGATCTTGACCTTGTACTAAGAATGGAACGTAAATACAAAACGAAAGACCCCAGTAAATAATAATTGCAATCACATAGCTAAGAAAACAAAACGTTTTAGTTTCGATAATTGATTAAAAACAATTCAAAGAGATCACTTACATTGTGACTGAGTGTAATACACGTAATCGCATACGTAATGTCTCTGATAACCCCGAATTGAGTCGTCTATAAGCCCAATAGATGACTCTAGTAATAGAGAAACTTGTTGTCAATATAAACAATCTAGTGACAATAAATCTATTCAATACATACGTGATAGCATAGACCCAATAGAGAATAAGCCAAATGTAAAAGAGCAACCACGATCTGATCCCAAAATGTTAGTACTTGATACAAAGAAGATCAAAGTTTAACTTACTGAAAATTCAGATTCCAAAGATTTCCCGTTTCTTTTGAAATTTGAGTATCCGTACGATGATGACGCAATTTACTTTCACTTGCAGTCCAACAATAACCAAATTCCGATTCACCAGCAAAATCAGGAATTGATACGAGAAGAATACACGTTAAAAGACCTAGAAAGTATCAGAAATTTGTTAACTAGATGTTAAAATTCATGAAGAATTTCGTGATTTCATGTACCTGTCATCCATACAAATCCATGATAACGACGAACATTACTTTTATAATCGGTAAATGGACTTTGTAATGATGATAACATATCAATAGCCATAACAAAGAACCAACTTTCTGATGTCCATAAGAAAAATTGTGTTAATGCTGCTGTTGCTGTACATGATGCTCCAGTAAGTGAATTGGAACAATCCCCATTTCCACATTTATAAAGCTCAGTAATCAATAAAACAGCTACGAGACAAATATCACAAATACTACGAAAGAAAATAATCGGATTGGGATGTTTTCGCCATGTTGGACGTGTCACAAACGTATAAACCACCGCACAACAACAAAAGAGTGTAATGAGACTACCAGAAACCAATCCAACTGAAACTCTTGCATCATTATCAGAGAATACAATCGTTGTCGCACCTCCACAGATAAAAATGAGAAACATACAACATTGAATCTTGTAATTATTTGCCCAATGAATGGAATTTTCCACTTTAATCTTCGCATGAAACCATCCAATTCCTTCATTCATTGCACCTTGAATTTTATCCGTCACATAACTTCCACTATCATAACTATCTTCAGAACTTTCATCTGCAGCACGAAGTTGTTTGGTACTTGGAATTTTCTTGAGTTCGACTGGTGTTTTCATCATCGAGTATCCATTATTTCTATAATGATGAAGATGTTAAAGTTTATTGAAATATTTTGAATCATTGATATGAACGTACCCTGTTTCAAGTATAGCGTTTGGATACCCTTGAGCATTTGGTGCACTATCTGTACGATAATATGGTAGTTCACTACTTGGCATTTGACGTGTAGGATCTAAAGTTCCATGTTGTGGAGGTGGTGGAGCAGGACGACGTCCAGGTGGAGCGACAGTTAAAGAGTCGGGATACATTGGCTCACGTTCACTTACACGAAGGTCGTCAAGACTATCGTTTCTAGTCATATGCTAGTTACTGAAGTTTGACGACGAGACTTGGTAGTAGAACACTTGAGCTTTCGTAGTCTTTGTCTCTTTCGCTAAGTCTTGATGAAGGTTGTAAGGAGCCAGCGCCGGTTAGGACGGTCGACAGGACGTTGACATGTGGTATCCGGATGACAAAAGGTGTAGGTTTGGGGGGGGAAATGTACGATGGGAATAGGTTGGTACGAATTTTTGGGGAGAATTAGGAAAGGGCGGGTTGGTTACGATGTGACGTTTGCAATAGACAGGAAGTAGAGGATGGAAGTTATGGAAGAATGAATAGAACAAGAGATGGAAGTAGATATTGGATGGAGAGGAAGTGAAGATGTAGTTATGAGTATAAGTAGATTTGACGAGTTAAGTGCAATTAGATTCTTTAGTTACCTACTTCTTCAAGTCAATTTTGTGATTCTACAATAAGAATATTGGTCTTAGAAATGTGTCTTCTTGTATACCACTAGTCTCCATTTCCTATCCAAAGCACTTTTGTCACAGATTGCAAGATGTCTAAGCTCATGTCGCGATAGCAACTTGTACATGAACATGCATGCGTCGAATAACTTAATCACATTCAATATATTACCACATCGCAAAATCTGCTGTTTAATTTTGAGATGCAGATCAAATGACGTCTTATGCAGGAATAGTCATTATATGTCGAGATCATAACCTTTGGTACCAAAATTGGGTATGTCTTGAACGAAAAACTATTTGTGACACCGTCTGGCGCGTTATCCGGATCTAAGGAAATGGCAGAGAGTATTTTCCTCGGCTTTAAGTTCACCAAATTTTTGAATCCTTCGTCGAAGCTTAGCGTGGAAATAGACGCAGTCGACATCTCTTGGTAGGTACTAACAAGCGTAAGCTCCCCCATGGCGCCGTCATATTGATATAAAGTTGTTTTATTATTCTAAAATTTAAACATCGTCTTAAATATGAGCTTGAGAATGTAAATCGCCTTGCTACTTGTCCTTTCGAATCAAAGTGCTGACTCAATTATATCTCGTACTATTAGAAATGAGCTTTATCCAATATATTCTGCATCAAGCAGCTCATCTACTTTCTTGTCAACACATTAACATGATTTCCAATTATAAAGCTGCTATTATTATTGTTGATACAATAACTGAATTGTCATTTCTAACAATACCGGTCCAATCAACTTCTATCAGTACCGGTATATAGTCAGTATTTATTGCAATAAATCCTTCTGTGCCATCCATCTCCAGTCTTTCTTCTGTGGTTTAAAATGGTACGTACCTTCCACAACTACTAGCAGCGTATGTTTCTCATGTCTTCTCTTGTAAGTAGAAGCTCTTCACATACCCTGGAAATTATCGTGCCTTTAAAGTGCTAATTGCCGCCGAGTACAATGGTATTAATATTGAGTTGCCGGAATTTGATATGGCCAAAGACACCAAGTCTTCGGCATTCAAGTCGAAGACCCCAATTGGCAAAGTCCCTTTACTTGAGACGGAGGAGGGATGTATCTTTGAAAGTGGCGCTATTGCTCGCTATATAGCTCGCTTACGTCCTGATCTTGGACTGTATGGCAAAACTTTCTTTGAATCAGGTCAAATCGATGGTTGGATCGATTTCTCTGCCTTTGAACTTGAAGTACCTCTCGAAGTTTGGGTTCACCCTATTCTTGGTGTTGGCAAATTTCATGCTGCTGCTTCAACTAAAGCCAAAGCTGATGTGAGAAAAGTTTTGCAGACTTTGGAGAATCATTTGCATTTGCGCACATACCTTGTAGGTGAGCAGGTGACGTTAGCCGACATTGTTGTCGCATCGTCGTTAGTGTACCCGTTTAAATTTGTATTGGACAAAGAATTCCGTAAGCCATTCCCTGCTGTGATCCGTTGGTTTACGACGTTGGTAAATCAACCGGAATTTCAAGCTGTTGTTGGTGATGTGCCGCTTATTGATGTAGCATTGACTGCTGTGGGTGATAATTCTGCTGTAAAGACTGTCAAGAAAGATGCTCCGAAGAAAGAGAAGGCTGGTCCGAAGAAAGAAAAGGTTGTTGTGAAAGAAGAGGAACCGAAGCCTAAGAAAGTCGAACACCCACTTGCCGTGTTAAATCGAGAGAAGCCATCGTCGATGAATTTGGATGCGTGGAAAGTTCAGTATTCGAATACAAAGAACTTGGCAGATGCCATGACGTGGTTTTGGGAACACTTGGATACAGAAGGTTACTCACTCTGGTTTTGTGACTACAATTACAACAATGAAAACACCAAGATGTTTATGACGTGCAATGCTGTTGGTGGTTTCCTGCAACGCTCTGAGGCTATGCGGAAGTATGCATTCGGTGTTATGGACGTTTGTGGTGCTGAGGGATCGGAGATTATTATCACGGGCTGCTGGTTATTCCGTGGTGACTCGGAGAAGCATATGATTGAAGCTAATCCGGATGCTGAATACTATACATGGAAAAAAGCGGAGCTTAACGACGAGACAAAGGCACGCGTGGCGGCCTATTGGTGCAATGAGGATGAGCTTGAGGGCAAACCCATTGCTGATTCCAAGGTTTTCAAGTAACTCTTTCTTCTTTGTTATCTTTGAGGTAGTCTATGACTATTACGAACGAACAGTGCAGCCTCTAGATGATATCATTTCATTTAAGACGGCGACAAAATTTACTGATAAGAAGTTGAGTACTTATTTAACCAGATTTATTTAGCCATAGATGCTTATGACTTTCGTTTGACAAATTTGTGAAATTTTTTTTTTTGCTTTTTAATGACTAGTCATTGTTTCTAATTTTGAGCACTACATAATAGTTGTTGTGTGTTATACATTATACGTTAGCTGACTTAAACTTTATGTGCCGCACAAAATTCAGTGTGCTTATCGTGCGGCATTCAAGTGTATGACTCTTTTGTTTCGTTGTTGCGCCATGCACATTTTAATTACCCCTGAAATACTAAGACGCGCAATCTCGGATTGTTTTTCGACGTAAACATACATGTACCCGACAGTTTATAATATTAATCATTTGTGATAGTTTACTTTTTCAAAAATAGCGTCGTAGTGCATGTGCTCCGAGTAGAATATTGTTTATGGGCTACAGCTGGCATATAATGATTTTTCAATCTTATTAAAGAGCTGCAGTGCGGTGGTACTCTGCAGCGAGCTTGCCGTTCTTGCACAAAAACGTCGTTGACTCTAACAGAGTATACAGTTTGCCTTCTGTTTCAAGAGTGTCCTGTATGTAAAGCTCGTTTTATATGAACCGATACCAAATTAATAACGTCTTACCATATCAATAAGCTACTATTCTCCTAACTGTATTGCCTGACATGAAGCTGAAAGCTCACGTATCCCCACGGTCCTATCCTACACATAGACCTATCGTCCTCATTAATGTCAACACTGTAGTTTTCTAAGTGTAGCACAAATGCGTAAAGTGAGCTGCCGGGCAGCACACAAACAAACGACGGTGTTTTGTTTGTGGGGACACCCGTCATCTTCAGAACGGTTGCCCACTGCGCAAGGCGCGTCAAGGTTCTTCGAACCATCGCCCCAATTCCTACCAGTCCGGTTCGTCGCAGGGAAACGACACCACCCAGTAGGCGCGGGATGACCTACTGGGGAAAAACTGAGTTCTGTTGAGCCTCAAGGAGGCATAGGTCAAAGGGCCCAACCCCGAAGAGCTCCGTGTTCCTGAACACGGAACGTGTATGCAAGCCGGTCTTGCTGGTCGTGGAGGCGACCGTAAAAGGCTTCGAGAAGCCATGGAAGATCCTCAACGATTCCGGGGCGTAGGGCAATTATGCACGACGCTCCACGATGGAAGGAAGTCAGCTGTATGCTGAAGCGCTGGAAGCGCGGTTGGGTGACATTGTCACTGTTCGACTAGCGACGGGGACGCGTGTCACGGTCCCGAAGGTCCCTGTGGATCTCAAAGTCAAGTTCCTCCTGCTAGGAGACAAAAGCGCTATTGGCGAGAGCTCTGGACCGAGACGGTCAACGCGCTGGACATTGGAATGTCCAAGTTGGTAGACACCAACGGTCTATCGGACAGGAGTTCCGAGCGTGGCTCGCAGGCTGATCGTAGAGTGGCACGTAACCCACTGAGCACTGCTCAAGTTTCGGAGAAGTCGCTGCATGTCATGCGTGACATGGTCGGCCAAGAGCCGAGGCATCGAGGGCGAGGCCCCCGTGATCCACATGAAGTGGCACGTAAACCACTGAGCACTGCTCTTGTTGCGAAGCAGTCGCTGCATGCCATTGTTGGCGTGGTCGGACAGAGTCCAAGCATCTTGGGCACGGTACTTTGGATGCGCGTGGAGTGGCACGCTATCCACTGGAGGGTTAGCAGCCCTTCGTCGGATATTGTCGATAAAATTGGAGCTCCAAAAGAGCGGGCAGGGAGAGTGACACCGGACGACGCGGAGTGCGTGTTCACCCTGGTCTCACCGAGCCATAGAGCCTTTGTACAGAGGCGACGGCGACGCCTTATGCTGGCTGCGAGACGCCAGGCGTCGACCCTGATCCAGGGTGTGTCTATCGTAGATGACGGTGCACGGTTATACACCATCGTCAACGGTATGACGGGATAGAAAGATGGCGACGTCCGCCTCGAGGCTATGCCTGCATTAGATGCTCTTCGTGAGCTGGGCGGGGTGTCCCTTGAAGAGTTCGGCAGTGCATTGAAGGCAGGCGATATGGTCGAAGTGGTTATTGTACGACCGGACGAGGATATAAACTCGTCAACGTTTCTGGATGAAGCTGTCTTGGAGGACACTAAGAGAGTGCTGACCGCACGAAGTGGATCGTCGACCCTACGGAATCCTTCGGATCCGTACTATCCTTTGGTGAAGGAATTTGAAGACGTCGTCTTCAAAGACCCGCCTTCAGTCCTACCTCCGGCCCGAGGCTTGCGTCATGGGATCGACCTGGTTTCGGGAACCAAATACTGCGTAACACGCCAATGACCCTGCATAAGGAGCAGTGCGACGTCATTGACGCCTTTTTCCGTGCGAAGCACGACGCAGGGATGG